TCGGTGAGTTCCCCATGTTAAGGCCAATGCTGCACTTACGAGGGCCATGCAGCACACGCGGACACAGATACAAACTTGTTGTGCCGGATATGAAACGTGTTCCCCACCCACTGTGCTTCGAACGGAGAGTGGTAAACATTTGGAACAGTTTGCCCGAACATGTGATTGAGGCAACATCTGTGCAACAGTTCAAAACGTTGTTAGATTTGCATTTTGCCTCTATTCGATTCAGAGAACGACTGCACACTTACGATGACATCACATTTGTGAATCCTGAAATATCGTAAGTCGCATATTTTAAATATTACATGAGAACGACAATGATATTCAAGGTTGACAACTTTTATAACGTTTTTCGCCATATCTCGAAAGAGTTGTACAGAATCCATTTCTACTTGCTCTATAATACAGTATTCAGTATTCAGTATTCAGAATATTTGCTGTGCTGAAAACCAGCATTGCCCGTGATTCGTTGAAGATTTTGACGTCGCCTATGCAAAATTTAAGATGCATTCGTTTGTACTATCTAACTTTATGCAAATGTTTCAAAAGCGCCATTTGATGAGCAGATAGTTGTCTTCCTTTTGGGAATATCCGGGTGTTTACTCACTGCATAATCTGGCATGGAAAAGACAGTTCAATCTACATCAACGCACAAACATACAAAATGACGAAAATTGTTGCCACCCTCTTGATATACTCCGATTAACAGCCTATCTTTCTGCAATGTTTCAATAGAAATCTATCAACATTAGTCTACTATGTTCTCTTTCATTTCATACATGTTTTTTTGGTTTCGTTCTATAACAGCTGCGTTTCAATTATCCCCATAGGAAATAGTCCATAGCATTTAAATCCAGTGATCACGCGGACCATTGTATCAGTCCTCCGCGACCGATGCAAAGTACACTGAATGTCTCGTTCAGGTAGGTATGAATCGATTGCGCCGAATGTGAAGATTTCGTACAAGAGATAACTTAAAATGCACAACAAAATCCGGCAAACGCTGCTTTGTAGCCAAAACGACGGAAGGCATTTCAAACATTTAATTCGTTGATATTTACAGGCATTTCATAAATTCCATGTACATATGAATGAAGCAAAGGATAAATGTATATTCTCGATTGAACATTGGAAACACCATCGATGGCCTGATCAATTTGTACATCTAGCAATTATATGGCTGTAACGGCAATAGTCGTATTCATGACTAACTTGGTATGGTGTATAACCGCGCCATCATTGCGTCGGAGCACACTGAAATCTAAAAGCTTGTCATGTGAAGTCAATAATTGGTTTTTAGGAATCCTTGAAGAGCGAATTTTAGTTGTAACACATAGGCGATCGAAATGCTAAAGCAAAATACACTGTAACCTTACAATGTGCTCCTGGCAGTATGATTCCCTTTAGCAGAGAAAGCAGCCTAGAAAAGGCATACGAGTTTGATGGAAGCCAGTCATGAGGCGATAACAGCTTTTGTGGCGATAGCAAAACGGCGCCATCGATCGGTTATCTCATACGGCCAGGCTGTTTTCCACATTTGCTAACACAGCGACCCACTAATCACTTCACAGGAAACCCTTTTGCTGGATTTTCACCTGCGTGAAGGTCGACTACCGATCGACCGAACTATGACGAGTTCATTGGTATTATTTTCTTATTGAAGTGCACTTCCCTATTCTGTACCTTCGATTTCTCTTCCTATCCTTTGCTTATTTCACGTGACTGCCAAAGCAGGGACTGCTAGGGCAGGAAACGTGGACATTAACTGGTTGGCCAGGGTGCGATACGGGTGTTTCCGTTTTATATCCATCAATAACTGAGCACTTCATCAATTCCTGGCTCCACGATCCACTCAAGATGGAACATTCACGGGATTCTCCTATCGTTCCAGTCCCCATCTGAACTGAACTGAAAAAAATTGCGGCTAGGTGGTATCTGCTCGCTTCCAGTTCTCACAGCCGAACTGCTTGTGGTACTTTAGACTTGCCCTGCGTTCGAGGCATGACGCATTCCTTGCGGCTGTGGTGTTTGCTAATGTGCAGTTCTCGTGGTGGTAGGCGATCGTAGGCACACGTGCCGCGTCTCTGTTTCCCATTGCACCCCTGCTGGAAAGCATTTGCGCCATTTGACAATTCAGCGTACCAGTGCAGGTCAGCACCTGAATGCGGCCGTTCCTAACTCCGGATCAGATTAATAAAACGCTCTGTACGGTTGTGTTAATTTCATCAGGTCCAAAACTTATATGATCTTTATTGCTAGTTCACCATACTCCATCATACCTTAACTTTATACTCAAAAACTCTCCCTGAAGTCCCACTTGTAGGTGGAGAAACAAAAATTGTACATCTTGCTTTATCTCTCCATCGTATAATATATTTATTCTACTGTCCTATGGCACCTGGACAATTTACATTACCTAGAGCATATTGAAATCAGAAGACAAATCATTATTAACGCTACCTGTTTTTTTAAACTTCTGCAAAATTTTACCACACCCAATCATATGGCATCCAGTAATGTCGCGAGACATGCTTATTGGCTAATTATTTCGTTGATACTTCTACTGGCTAATGTAAATATTTCATCTTATTCTTCTGTTTTTCTTTTGATCACTAGTAGGCCGATCCCCTGAGATGATCATTTAAAGCGTCTAAGCAACATGTATACCCACGCCAAAAGATCCACTGGTGAAGATAGAAAGTGTGAAAACATTAAAAGCAGTCCAATCTGAATCGCTGATCTCACACTTAATGGCATATGACGCCACCCGGTGATCCATGTCAACATGCACGCAGAAAACTATGAATGAACAAAGGGCTGACTGGCTTGAGTAATTAACGCACTAAAAACATAGCTACCCAAAGGAGGAAGAAAATCAATAGTGGCCAGCGTGCTTTTAAATCACATCGATACATGATTAGATGGGGTGTGGAGAAGAGCCCCCAATTTTTAATTTTGATTATAAAACCTATTTAAACCCCCCCCCCCCCCCCAACCATAGCTCCCCTACATGGATACGTATTGTTGGTATTGGGTTATATTATGGGTATAGTAGTAGGCGAGTGTGCGTATGGTAGCCCCCCCCTTCCCCCCTTTATTTTTGTTATGACTTTCTGGTTGGGGTTAGTTTGTGATACTGTTCGCCCCGGATACCCCCCCCTTTATTTATTTTGTGAAGTACCTGGGCCACATTTGGTCCCGTTGGGGTTATGAGCGCCCTGATTTATTAGATGTTGTTGTGTGTTTGGTTGGTGTTTGTACCCCCCCCCCCCCCCCCCCCCCCCCCCCCCCCCCCCCCCCCCCCCCCCCCCCCCCCCCCATCCCACCCGCCTTCGATTCGGTTGATCGATGTGCCCTTTGGAACTGTCTACTCAGGAAAGGTGTGCCCGAGAAATATGTAAATATTATCCGAGCATTATACGCGCGTAGCACGGGCAGAGTGAGGGCTTACGGCAAGCTGTCGCCACCCTTCAATATCTCCAGCGGTGTGAGACAAGGATGTCCGTTGTCACCTTTCCTCTTCAACTTCGCTATTGACGAAGTCATGGAGATTGCATTCACAGGACATGACTTGGAAGGTGTGGAGCTACACCCAGGAGAATAACTTCTTTATTTGGAGTATGCAGACGGTATTGCCTTCATCTGTGACAGCTTTCAGACGTGCCAAGCCGCACTGGGCAGATTAGCACTGGTTGTCGGCCGCTTCGGGCTTTACTTTGCACCATCGAAGTGCAAAGCTTTCCTCCAAGATTCACAGGGATCGCCTCCTGCGCTGACACTTGGTGGGGATCAGCCGGAAGTCGTTTAGAAATTCGACTACGTGGGAAGTTGTCAGCACCCTTGGGATCGAAGATAAGATCACGAACTGTATAGCAAAAGTTTAAGGTGCTTTTGCTAAACTTCGCCACCTATGGCGGCGGCGCGACATCACTCTTGCCCTGAAGGGTAGAGTGTACAATGCAGCGATACGTTCGACCCTACTGTACGGTTGCGAAACCTGGCCCCTAAGATCGGCGGACATGAAGAGGCTAGTTACGTTCGACCATCGGTGCCTTCGCAGTTTGGCTCACATCTGGTTGAAACACCGCGTGAGCAACGAGCGTCTTCGACGCCTTGTTTACGGCACATGAAAATGAACTGAACCGCTCAGCACCGTCATTTCACTCACCAGGCGCCGATGGCTGGGCCACGTGTTACGCATGCCAGCCCACCGACTTCCACGACGTGCGTTGTTTGCTCACCGGGGATGTTGATGGAAGAAGAGGAGAGGCGGCCAAGCGATGACTTGGTCAAGAGAAATGAAGGTCATCACTTTGGAGCTGGCGTCGGTTGGAGCGTCACGGCTCCCTGGTTGGGGTCCAAAAGACGATGAACACTTGGATGGATGCGTTTGCTGACATGGCTAGGAGCTGACGTCAGTGGCGTTTCTGCTGTGAATTTATTTGTCCCTTCCCATCCATTTAAGCCTGTTCTTCCAACTTCGATCTCATTTATTAGCATACTATCATTTTACAAAATAATTTTTCTTTTTGCATATTAGCCGGCTGTTAGCTTACCTGAACGATGCCCATCCGTTGCTGGTAGCTCAGGTGGCATGCAGCTGTGCTGTTTATCCTTTTTCCTTTATGTATTGCGGCACAGTAGCTGGGGTGTTTCCCACCTCTAGCTAATGTGTATAATGAATGTATGATATCGGCAAGCTACTCAAACTTTAAAGAATTAAATTCGTTATCTTAAAAACCTTTTGACTTCCAACTTATCTCACTTGTTACTCGCGCAGCTTCCTGTTACCTCGCAATCCGTAATCTCACTGCTTGACTTGTTCCGATATATGCTTTACGGCACAGTTTTTTTATCTACCCACGCAGTGCTGCTTTTTAGTTCGATGTCAACTCGGGTGTGCATGTTCCTTCGTTTTAGCTTAGTTGCATTATCACATTTTCCATCAAGCCCACTCAGTCCTATAGTTGAAAGTCTGTGTAGAGACGTGATGACCGATGTGGTAAGTCCAGCCATTTTCAACTACTTTTTTCAAACTACAGTCAAGGTTTTATCACGATGTTATTGATGATGTTATCAATGGAGTTAAAGACGATTGGGTGGAGGACGGATTGGATCTGCAGGTTTTGGATGAGCTCAAAAAGGTAAATTTGTACTTTTAGTCCCACTTGTCAGTTATGGACAACGAAACTAGAGGAAACACACGTGTTCGATCCCGAACCGACTGCTCAACCAGCAGCACAATATCTCAGCCTTATCCAGCGCTCGCAAGTACAGGTCGGTAACTAACCGATTTGATAGTTTCTGTTTTATTCCGAAAGCTTTTATTTCTTATTGCTTTTGCACGTCTCCTTGATTTCTTTCATGCCGCTGACGCTAATGTGACTTATTTTCTTTAAACTTCTAGCTACTGCGTTTCATCATGGGTCTTATTACTACTTGTACTCATCAATGTTCGATGTTTTGTACGTTCCACCGCTTACATTTTGTTCGGCACGCGGACTCCACGCTTGTATTTCTTGTGTAGTAGAGATTCGATAAACGAAGTATATCATCAACTGTGCGGTGTAACGGCGCTTCGCCACCGCGCGACCACCATTAGTCGCGCGTTGCCCGAGTATACTGCGAGTGCGTCCGCCCCTACGCGCATTCGAACCGATGACCTTATGATTGCAAGCTAAGTGTGCGGACCACTCGCCCCACCGGCTGACAGACATTCGATATATTCCTATTCTTTTGCTGACTGTTGAAACCGGTCTAACAATCGTATTCCATTATGTCCTACCACATCTTGACACTACGAATTTTAACCACACGTACGTTCTTGCATTATGGTTTATCCAGCTAGGCTTCTCTTGTCAGGCACAGTTGTCTGTCTGCACACAAATGTGACTAGTGCAGCCACCTCCACCACCATACTTAATCGCTAACTACAAAAACAATGCGCTGACTTGTTGTGCAGCAGAGTTAGCCGGTAGTCTAGTGGTACCGACCTTGTCTCGTAATTTTGCGGCGCAGATTCGAATCCGCGTAGGGGTGGACGTCATCGCTATATACTTAACCCGCGTGCGTCCCGTTATGGCGTACAGCTGACCAATTATTATTTATTTATTCTGTATAGAAGAACTATGCGATAGTGAAGCACAATATTTATTGATGCGGACTGTCAATTAACCCACTCACGCAAGCGCACAGATATGTCATGTTTCCCTCCCGCTACGCATCATCCATCCTCCAATCAGCTCGCGGCACATCTATGCGCCTACCCAGATTGCGCCGCAAAATAACTTTGTTTCATCCCTCATTTCCCGTTCTCGTCGGCTAAGATTCGTTTGATAGACCTTGCTTTTCTCAATCGGGATTGCTTCGCTGTCTTTCGGCTTATTCCTGGGGGCGTGATCGAAAGCGTATATCTACAACAAATCGGGCTCCCCACCACTACCTTCCCAGCTCTTTTCAGCGTGGCTCAGAAATAGTTTGTCACTTTTGAACCATTCCCGGCTTGTTCCGCAGGCCTCGAGCTACTGCCGACTTTCATCCCTGGTGGTCGCGTTAGTTTTCCTCTTCTTTTGTTTCTGTGGCTTTTCCGTCTTGCCTGCGAATCTTGCTTTCTTCGTCATTGCAGTTTTGCTGGTGCTCCACGTTCATACAGTTGGTTATTAGTAGGGGTTATCCTAGTGAACAACAGTTAAGGCGCGCAATGATGAACACTGTTCAGAACATTACGCGTCTTTCGGCTTTTCAGGATCACAATACTTATCACGACGTAACTGGTTGTCATTGTGGAACGAAAGTTTGCTTTCCTTCGTAACCCATTGAGCTTTACTGGGTGACAACTTCAAACCGCCTTCAGATCCACACATAGCAGGTAGGTCAATGGGTATGGATCTAACTAACTCTGTCTCAGCATCCGCTTCAGAGTTTGAGAAGTGGTCGGTGGCACTTTTCCTTCAAAATGTCACAAGGGGAAACAGTAGATGACAAGTTATGAGCTCACAAATTGATTGGTGTAGAGGAGAGGTGACACACTGTCTCTGACGGTGTGAGAGCACTATCCAGTGCCCAATGGTTTGCTACCACCCGTCTCAAGCCATTTTTCTTTTGGCTAAATGAGTGCAATCCCTCAGACGCACCTGCTGTTGGCTGTGATCGCAGTTGCGGTCGAGAAAGACATGTGAATTGTTCTAAATTTTTGACAGCTGCGTGTGGTAGGCAACCGCATCTCGGTTGGTCTCTATGATCACACTCTCAAGCCAGGCTTTCCACGTATTTCTGTGCCAAATGTTAGATATTAAGCACCTCGAGACAAAACCCCTCTAGAAATGGACAGTGGGAGGAATCTGTACTCTTGCTACCCGGTTATCAGTGCTATCCCTCCGCATTTTCCCACTGAAATGCTCTTCTTAATCATCCATATCACAGGAGACTGCCGCCAACTGTTTATGTTTGAACACGTCCTTCAGTCCAAGGGTTTTATTTTATATTGATCCGCACTCTAGGTCAGATCGGCCCACAGACAGCACTTAGTTGCCCTTTCCACTCCTCTTGTATTGATATGCGCTGTCTTCGCGGAATGCATACAAGATGATAGCATGTTGACGAATCTCCGACTTCCTGGTTCCTAATTCGCCGATATTGACTACACTATTCGCTTCACTGACCAGACTGAGTCAACTGTTGTTGGTATTACCCTCGTCAAATATGCGAAGGCAGTACACTCAACTGAATACCAAAGGACAGCCGCATGTATGTGGTTCGACTAAGAACCTCCATAGGGATTACCAAGCACCGTCTAAAGACACGATGCCTTTTCAGTTTGTACTCCCATTGAGAGTATCAAAGACGAACTATACCGTCAGCTCTCTTTCCTTATGCACATGTGGGGCTATACTGATGCCGTGTGTTGGGGTGCCTAATGATTATAGAAAAAATCGCCTGCTATGGCTTTTTCCACCTCCGATTGTGCCATTATGTGATCGAGCTATTTGCAGTGGGATGCAATCTACGGCAATGTCGACCAACCAGCCGTTCGCTGTTACTCCGCTTACAAGCAACCAAGATACCGTCATACCAACCAGTGCCTTAGCGTACACATCGGTTACATTGATCCATATCTCTGGTCTTTATTGATGCATATTCCGTGTGGCTTGAATTCGTTCTATGGTCAAGCTAAACGATTGGTGAGCACAGTCACGACATTCCTCTCGAGATATATGCAGTTGGCTGTGGCTGCTTATATCCAGATGTTCCTGTCCGCTTATCGGACGTCGGCAAATTCATTCTCCCATGGATGTCGATAACCTGTCGATGCTTTGATGGGTTGTAAGCTACTCATCACATGAAATAAAAGTCCCGATCCCAAAGCCGCCAGTAACAATTGCCGATTTCACTAATCACAATGAGTTTGCTGTCGGGACTCCTCTCTGCGCACGTTATCATCAAGCTGGCCATCCATGCTGGATCAACGCGACACTGACGGCCCACCGCCGTAGCATATTGCACGATTTCGCTGTGCGAAATATTGATAGGTTCAGAACTGTAACTAATTTCGACTACGACGCGGAGCGACTCCTGCACAAACACAGTCCTCTGTGTGATTGCCTCGGCACACCTAAAAGGATACATCCGAAATCATAGTGGAACAACTGAAAGCTGTGGAAACCGCTTAACCAGTATCAGTTATCAACTGCCCCCACAACCAGACAGAATGTATTCGCCAGCAGACAAAAGCCGCAGTAAACTCTCGTCAACAACGAGACCATTTGTATAGAAGAATAGCTTCAACAAAAATTACTCGCACTGGTTGCCTTCGCCAGACATCCAATTCGACCATATTGTTGCCATTTGACGACTACATAGTGCGTTAACTCTGATTGTTATCAGCTTGCAATCATTTCTATTCTAAAATGTTTTCCGGTCATAGGCTGAATGATCACCTCAATTACGGCTTTACCGGATGACAATTATATTATCCTGTTAGATACTTTCGTCTACTGTTATCGGGTGGTAATTGCGTCACCTTGACAACTACGCCTGTTAACGAAATCTACCGTACTAAATTCCAAGGTGTGCAGGGTGTGAGTTATCTTTTGAGAAAGCCTCCAAAACCGCTTTCCATAGTCACGGGTTTTTCCTCTCTCGGTCACAGGTGGACTTGCGGAGTCTGTGTTTGTTTCTGTACAGTGAGGTAGAGAGACTAAGTTCTACAGGATGTATCAATACGTATTCGTTCAGCCACTTTCCCGCGCATCTTTTGCTCCGACTGAGAAACCGTACCAAACGTGAGCGTTACAACAATAGTAGTGATGGCCGCAGCCTTGTGTTTGTTACTGTTGACATGAATGTTTAAGTAGACAGCCTGTCGGACACTGAACAACACCTGAGAAGCCGTTTCGAGGTATGTGTACACTGAATGGACACTGGCGCTCGATTCCTGCAGCTATATACCAGTAACAATCACTGCTTCTCAGCACAAGCGTTCACATCGTGTCACCTAGCGCCCACGGAATTTCTCTATGACCTAGGCCTAATTTCCCATTAGCTGCAGCTGGCGTACATTAGTTCAAGACTGCCGGCCAGTTTGCAACACAAGTATGGATTCCGACCATGCGCCAGTGCGCATACACATGGCGATCACACTTCCTGCCTCAGACAATCGCGTAACCTCTATGCTTCTTACTTGCAACTTTTACTTCTACTCCGCAATTCAACAGTATGATAACGAACTGATTCACCAATTACCAGTAGGTCTGAGGTTGGTGTGCCGTATGCGAATCGGAATGTCTCGGTGTGTGTCATAACTAATGCTTTTGAAGACTGCGGTGCGCCCACATTGAGTCGTCCAAACTGTCAATGGATCTCTGAGGCATAAATCAGTGTGATCAAAGCACGCGAACCGGTTTTGTGAGCTAATGTGTTTCACTTGTCCGTGATATTCTGTAGTGACGACTGACAGAGAGTATTCTATTTCACAGGGAACGCAGGTTACAAGCGCTCGTGAGATAGATAAAGCCAGCGCCATTGGAAGCAGTCAAATACTGTCCTAGCTCATCCAAATGACGGGTTCAAGAAAGCCCGTAGTTAGTGAGTCAATAGCCGAGCAGTATGGACAGTTAGTCCATTTTCCGCCTCGTCAACTATCTCGTTGAGCGGAACATTATGTAAAGCATTTCAGCATGTCAGCTGCGACACTGCCAATTTCTGAATCAATTAAACCGCTGTGGGTGATTCATGTCCTACCTACCACTTTGAAAGAGATATCACATGACTTTGCTGTG